TTAATAATTTCAAAAGCACTTCACGTTTAATACTTTCATATTTGAATGAAATAAAGCAACATAAGTCCAAAGAAAAATAAATTGAGCATTCTCTTCATTCATGTCCTCATAGCTCGTTAAAAAAATCTTTAAAAGTTAACCTTTTTTATCCAGGGTAATAACGAGCGTCAAAGAAGCGAAACAAAGGACCCAATTCATGTTGCACAATCTGTGTCGTAACTGAATTCTGGTTCAATGTTTTCCGCGTGGCAGGTATCAAGGCTGAAATGTGCAGGTGGGTAATCCGAACTGTCAGAAGAGGACCGCACCTGTCAGTTTATGACAAGCTAGTGCTGTTTTTGAATTGATTAAAATTTCCTTATTAAAGTAGGGGGCGCCCACCGTTATTCCTCAATATTTTGAAGTTCATTTGGTGCGCAAAATTTTTAAATCGTGAAACTCTATTGTATTAAAAAATTTAAAGTACTGAAAAAATGCATACATTTTTTCAATAACAAGCTTTTATGTACTAATGCACTAAAAAGAAGAAAATGAATTATTTTCTTAAAATATATAATACTGCACTATTATGTAAACTGTAAAGAAAATCGTGTCTCTTCCTAAATATTAGTGAAAGTTTCCAATAGATAATATAGTGGCCCAAGATTTTTTTTTATAGTTATTTAAATAGCCCACTGCTCCGCTGGCTTTACTTCCCGTTAATCAAGTCAGGTCCTCATTATAGTCAAATGTATTCACGGGCGTCGTCCAAGCCCTTTACTCCTCCTGCACTTGTCTGTCAACACGATGCATGTCTAGCTTGTGATGTCCTTCGGTAATGTCATACTTGTTATGTCATACTTGTTATGTCATACTTGTAATGTCATACTTGTAATGTCATACTTGTGATGTCCTACTTGTAATGTCCTACTAGTAATGTCCTACTTGTGATGTCCTTCTTGTGATGTGTTACTTGTGATGTCCTACTTGTGATGTCCTACTTGTGATGTCCTACTAGTAATGTCTTACCAGTAATGTCCTACTTGTAATGTCCTACTTGTGATGTCCTACTTGTAATGTCCTACTTGTAATGTCCTACTTGTGATGTCCTACTTGTAATGTCCTATTTGTAATGTCCTACGACAACCAGCCAGAGGTGACGCTGTCGGTCTTTCGGTCTGCTCCGTCCTGATTGAAACCACGAAAATATCTGTGCAATGCCCTAATTTAATGTAACACTAATAGTAGCCTATTTTCATCTTTCATTTTAAAAAATTTGAAATATTTTAACGCGCGCTTGTTATAATGCATGTTTCAGTTCGTTTACCTGCAAGCACACACACACACACACACACACACACACACACACACACACATCGTAAAATACCCTGTCGAGTGCCAGCGCGTGGACCACATCCCCGTAGTCTATGTCTGTAAGAAAAGTTTCAAGTATTGTGAGGTTGGGAGCAGTGGCGTAGCGAGGTCAGGTGTCACTTAATGGTGTCATCCCCCAGAGGCGTAGCGACCCTTCCCGGGGACAAACTTTCAAGTTTTCGATTTGCACCCTCCCCCCCCCCCCCCCCCCCGCTCAAACTTTCGATTTGCACCCCCCCCCCGCTCAAGTTTTTCTCTATATATTTTACTATTGCCTTGGTGTCGCCCCCCTAAATGGTGTCACTCGGTGCGGTCCGCACCCCCCGCCCCCCCCCCCCCTCGCTACGCCCCTGTTTGGGAGCGAATGGAAGATCTTCAGCAAGTTGTGATGGTTGGAAAACAGCAACCACAAAATGTGAGAGTGGGGGTGATGAAGAAAATCCAACACACAAGTTCAAGTCAAAGTATAATGTTCTTTATTCAAATGTACACAATCAACTTCCTACCTACCTAACTAATCTATACTGTACTACTACTACTTATATCTAACTGTTTACTGTACTACTACTAACTACGCACTCCCATGACCTATCCTAACACTATCTAACTGTTCCCTAGCTCTACATATTTCTGACCGTCTCTACCTCAGAGTTTCTTCCAGGCATCTCTATTGGGGTAAAGTCTACCTCCCCCCCCCCCCGAACGAGATGGATTTTATATAGTAAACATACACTTTTACTAAAAATGTTAACGGCCCCCTCAAAAATTTCAAGTGCCCCCCCCCCCCCCCCCCGGAGAAAAAAGTCTGGAAGAAACACTGCTCTACCTAACTCTACATAATTTCTCTACCTAACTCTGATCGTTCTCTTTGCTAGCTATCAACTACCTGGCCTAACTGAGACCAACGCTTCAGTGGTCAGCTGGCCGTCCCACGTGACCGGTCAGCTCCTGTACTTTCATTGGTCTCTCTAACCAACTAGCTATAGCCTGTTTCTATTAACTTCTTCTACTTGACCTATCCGACCTAACTTAGCGTCATCACAAGTATCCAAACGAAATTTGACTGAACAACAAATTGCTTAAAGTTAAAATGTCTGTTTAATCTTTTCTCCCGTTACACACTGGCCTTGACCCACCATCCCCAGAGGCGTAGCGACCCTTCCCGGGTACAAACTTTTAATTATCGATTTGCACCCCACCCCTCTAACTTTCGATTTGCACACCCCCTCCCCCTCAAAATTTCGGTTTGCACCTCTTAAAACACTATTTAACACTCGAATTAATCACTTAATTAAGTGGAATTATCATTTGTCTCTATATATTTTGCTATATTTTGCCTTGGTGTCTCCCCCCCCCTAAATGGTGTCACCCGGTGCGGTCCAAACTCCCCGCCCCCCCCCCCCCCCCACACCCCCTCGCTACGCCTCTCCCTATCCTTCGATTTGTCTAGTAAAATAACCCTCACAAGACTTTCTACTTCACTCGACCCAGTCGCTTTCGTTTCTTGATTCATTCACTAATTAAGCTTTAAAAAAAACCAATAGTTCTATTTATAATAATAGTTACGGCTTCAAACATATAGTTCTTTTAACCCCTTAATGCCTGAATTATGTTCCAAGCGTGTAAAAAATTATTTGTGCTCATTTTATCTCATCATACTGACACTGAATTTGAGGTATATAGTTGTTTTTAAATTTGGACTTATTTTTTATGCTAATTACGGTATGTCGCGAAAACGCCACATCAGGCACTTATGGGCCAAACAGTAATTTAATTATTTTTTTTAGTCCGGGTCATTTTACTATTTTTACTGTCACGTGTTTCTCTAAATCTCCACGCACAAACAATAGAATATCACAAACTGAACATACGGACATGCAAGGAGATGTAGAACCACTTGCAAAATTCATGAAAACTATACTTTATTAGCTCAGGCATAGAGTTACATAACTCTGCTGCACCTGCTCACTAGCTAACTCTTATGAATGGGTATTTTGAAGCTTTGCTGTCGTGGTCCTACTACACTACAGTAACACACTACATATGAAAGGACTTCCTTCAATGTGTAGAGCCTTAGTTGTCCCCGGTTACGTAATTTTCGTGAACTCTTATTCAAGTTCAACTAATAAAGACGCATATTTCTAATTTGACATATATTTGCTATACGCACAAAGCACGTGAACAAATACTGTCCTAAATGACAGTGTTCAGCCATCGTATATTCGTCAATTCTCAATGCAACTGCTGTGGGTACTTAGTGTCACTGCTCTGGGTACTCAGTGCCACCGGTGTGGGTACTCACTGCTATTGTTGATGGTACCCTATGTTTCCGATTCGTGCTACGGCTATTGTTCTCAACTGATTCTGATATTGATTACCAATGACAGTGCTGTAGCTACATATTGCCACTGGTATGGGTACTCTGTGCTGAAACAGTGGGTACTGAGTGTTGAAGCCATGTGTACTCACTGTTGAAGCTGTGGGTACTCAGTGTTACTGCAGTCGGTTCTTGGTGTCACTGCTGTGGGTACTCAGCGCTGGAGCTGTTGGTAATCGAAAACGTTGGTGTAGGTACTCAGCCTTAGCAGTGGGTACTCAGTAGCACTGCTGTGAGTGCTCATTGCTCAAACTGTGGTTGCTCAGTGTAACTGATGTTCAGTGTTTCTTCCAGACTTTTTTCTCCAGGGGGCACTTGAAATTTTCGGGGGGGGGGGGGGGGGGGCGGTAAACTTTCTTCGGGGGCGGACACTGTTAAAAGTATATATTTTCTATATAAATTACATACATTTCATTTCGTTCGGGGGGGGGGGGGGGGCGGTAAAAAATTTTCGGGGGGGGGGCTTCGCCTGGAAGAAACTCTGCTGATGTTGGTACTCAGTGCTGAAGATGTGGGTACTCTAACACTGCTGTCGGTACTAAATGCCAGTATAATGCCACTAATGTGGGTATTCAATAGCTCTGCGAAGGGTATGTTTGTCAGTACTCAACCTTACTGTATTTATTATTATGTGTAGGTCTATGCTCAGTGTTATTATTGTCAAGGTCACTGTGAAGACCTTTCTTTGGTGGTATCCAGGATAGTGGTCCACCACCTCACTTCCTGTTGTCTATTTATTTTTTATGTCTCCTAATATTTTACAATACTATTTCAAAGCTAAATTCGTTATATTGTACCCAGCAACATGATCACATTATTCAAACATCGCTCTCTCTCCATATGTCAATGTCAATGAAACAGATGAACTCTACTTCACCTACCACATGGAACGTAACGTTCTAAAGTGCGCTTTTATGTATATGCGAAGACTATATTGTAAATCCTTTACTTAATTACAATTATACTTGAATGAATGACATCTTGGCGATGCATCGTATTTCGTTATACCTGCTTGGCACACAAGTTCCATTTGATGTCTTATTGCCGGATGTCGCGAAAACGCGACAAACCGTAATTAGCAGATAACTTCCAAAATTATTCTCATATATGATTTATATTGTTTATATACATAAAAGAGTGAATAATAAAGCTATTAGTATTTTTTTTATTAGTTTAAAAAAAAATAAAAGCTCGATTCAGTACTAGAATTTCTCTAAACTTCATCTCATCAAGAATATAGTTCAGTTTAACACCGTTTAAAAAAGAAAACTCAATTCGGTGTTTGAACTTCTCTGATCTTCATCTCAGTGAACACAACACTGGATGTGTTAGAGACCGACCTCGCTATGACACCGTATGGTGCCGTTTTATTCCAGCCGCCGTTAAGGTTTAAGTTATAATAATCCGTACAATTCGTTTCGCAGAACCACCAGGCGGTTCTATAAGTATTTGGGATGTTGAAAGTATAAAAAGGAACGCTATTGAAATCGTAAGTGCTAAATTTCTTATTGGAGTGTGCTTGGTACATCGCCGGACTTGCTGATGATGACAGAAATCTGTAGTCATTTAACTCGTTGGCAAGACTAAAGTCGGTGAAGTTGAAGGTGTTATTTTGCCCGTTATATTTGACGTCCACTCTCATGTCGTATCTTGTGACGTTGGTCAGGCAGTGGATGTTTTCATTACCGAGGTAAAACTCGCCCAGTTCGTAGTCCCCAAACCCGTCCCTGTACTCTGCCCACTTTCGAAAAAAATCAAGAGCTCCTGTGATACGACGTTGGAAGATCGTCCAGCCGCCCCCATCACTGTCCGTGTCACACATGACGACCAGACCGTTGAGCAGTCGGATCAACATCCTCGGGCTGGTCTTGTCTGTGATGTCTTTACACGATTTATACATTGGTATAGTCTCAATATCTGTGTGCTGTACAAGTGCAGTGCCATGTCCTGCAATACATCAAAACATAAACAATATCAGTAGCGTCACAAGAAGAAGTGAGAACCGCATCGTAGTGACATTAATTTGTGCAGAGGGGTAGTAAAGTAAAATAAAGTTCCCTTTCAAACCTGACGGTCTATAGGGCAAGTGAAGTAGAGTTTACTTCTTTCTGTGACCTCGGCATATGAACGGAAAGTGTGGTCAGCACTATGCCCAGCCGCCTTTACTTTCACTGACGTGAGTTAGGTACCCATCACGGTCTACTGACTTGAACCCGGATTCGAACTCGAGACTAACGGGTTAGCTGTCCAGCTCTCTACCGCTAGACTACTCAGAGGGGTAGAGGGTCACCCATCGGTTTATTTTGCTCTCGCCCCTCCTCACGGGCATTGCGACAGACAAGTCTAGGGATGTACTAGAATGCTGCCTATCATGGGCGGACGGGGTAGAACGTAAGGCGTATTTTGTTTTCGTGGCATCCTATTAAATATAAAATAAAAATACGTACAATGTGAATTATCATCTTACTTTGTCCAGAACATTTACTTACACTAACACAAAACCTATCGATTGCCCTTTTCTTGTTCTAATCATTGTCTCTGTCTCTATCCCTTGTCATACTAAGGTCTCCATACTCATCCTTTATGACTATCCCTAACCAATCCATAATCTATCACTATCTTCACATATCACTTAATGACCTGCGGGAGAGGGGGGGGGGGGTGAATGACGAAGAGGAAATGTCCTGCTGAAGATTTTAGACGAGATTCGTGAAAAGGGATGTGATATACAGGGGTAATGACGGAGAGGGTAGGCGAATGGCCGGAGACTAATATTGGCAAGGGATTATGTCATGCTAATAGGCAAACCACACCAGTAAGCCAGATCAACGCATTTTATTTCATGTGGACGGCGACAGCAAGTCTCTAATTGTAGTTTAACCAGTGGCGTAGCGCGGTCGGGTGTCACCCGGTGTAATGATGTCACCACTCAGAGGCGTAGCGACCCTTCCCGTGGACAAACTTTCCATTTTCGATTTGCACGCCCCCTCCCCCCCCCCCCCCTCAAACATTCGATTTGCACCTCTTAAAAGACTATTTAACACTCGAATTAAGTGGAACTATCATTTTTCTCAATATATTTTGCTATTTTTTGCCTTGGTGTCACCCCCCTAAATGGTGTCACCCGGTGCGTTCCGCACCCCCGCACCCCCTCGCTACGCCCCTGAGTTTAACTGAAACAAATGTATCATTCAAATACGTATATATATATATATACACACACACATATATATATATATATATATATATATATATATATATATATATATATATATATATATACAGTTTCTCTCACCAGCACATGCGTATTTGTCACAAGGTGTCAGGTCACCGTTTGGCTGAAGCGTGACGTTGGCCCTGGTGTCACAAAAGTTCCCGCCCACAGAGTAGATCTGCTCGTTCCTGACAGTCGTGTTGGCTGGCACCTTCCAATAGCCTGTGAGAAGGAATCGAAATTTGCATCTTCAACTAATTGTCATGTATTTTACATGCATTGGTACTGTGTGTTAACATTATACACGTACCGTATTGATCAATAAACCTCAAGTCAACTGACCACTTACTAACATAATCCTGCACACTTTAGTCCCTTTCTATTACAGATATATACATATACATTCAATGAAGAGATAAATATAAAAAAATATATATTTTGTAGTAATCGATGGTCTAAGAGGGGTTTGGCATGGTCGAGTCGATAAAGCTTAGATTATTTTAGTCTATATATATAGGCACATGTGCGTGTGTGCTTTTTTTGTAGAGTGTATATATAAACTTACCCAAAGAACAAATACTTCGATCAGCATTAAAACCGAAATGGTTGCAGGTTTTGTTGTAGAACTTGCATTTGATGGCACACAATATCGGTGAGTCCATAGAGAATCGTTCTTGAAATTTGAGTATCATAAAGTCTGTTGTGTCGACCAGAGGCGTAGCGAGGGGGGGGGGGGGCGGGGGGGGGACATATGTCCCCGGGCGCCGACCTTAGGGGGGGCGCCAAATTGAAAGTTTGAGGGGGGTTGCAAATGAAAAGTTCGAGGGGGGGTGAAAATCGAAAATTTGCTCCCGAGGGGGGCGCCAAATTGAAAGTATGTCCCCGGGCGCCGGGAAGGGTCGCTACGCCTCTGGTGTCGACGGTTGTGTACTCAAACTCTCTGACCTCCACCGCTAAGGAAATGGCTGGTGTGTGAAGTAAACAGCGGGTTAGGTATCGGATGATATCGGAAACATGTTTAGTAAGTTCACAACTCTTTGAAAAGTAAATACTTCACTCGTCTAATGTATGTTCTCAGATTGTAAGCACAAATCCAATTATTGTTGTATTTTTGTATCCGGCATCAATTCGTGTATTCTTTTTTTTTTTAAATAAGAATATTTGTTCCCAACTACCATGAAGAAAGTCTACCGAACGAGATTGAATTTATAGTAAACAAATACTTTTACTAGTATCCGCCCCCCCCCCCCCCGCCGGAAAATGTTGACCGACCCCCGGAAAATATCAAGCCCCCCCCCCCCCCCCACCCCCGGGGGAAAAAGTCTGGAAGACATTCTAGATCGCCTTTTTCAAAAGGAATCACTCAGTACTAGACTTTTTGATATTTTCTCTTCAACCAAGTGGAAATGACACATATACCAAATATTGATAGAATGGGTCTACGACAAATTCCCGAAAGACACTTGCCCAAATTGGAGATTCTTTATCAATTTAAGTTTGATATTTTGATAATAAACACAATTCTAAGCATTAAAAAATTTCTCTGTAATTTTAAAATTTAGCTTTAATTTTTTTTTTTCAAAATTGAGAAATTACTGTAAAAAAATAACTTTTTTTTTATAAATGTAAGGTGATGTTGGCGGCGATGTCCTAACATTCTTTTGATGTAAGTTTTGAACACCTTGTATAGCCGACCGTATTGCGGTGGTTATATAGCGCTTATGACACGGTGTAGGCGACGCGGCGTCTCGCAACGTTGAACAGAGGCGCGTTTGTTTGTATATCTTGTTATGCTTAACTTGTCGGGTGATCATTTCACAACAGAACTAGGTGCGGACTAGGCGGCGAATTTAAAAACTAAAGGTAGTCAAATACGTTTGATCTCCATTTAATGCACCTTGTTCAGACAATGTGTTAAACTAGTTAAAGCGATTACTTAATAAAGAAAGCAAAATTTATTTTAAAAACTTGTGAAAAACGAAAATTGTATTTTTTGTCTTGTTTTAAAGATGGAAGAGAAAGTATGTTTCTACAACTTTTATATAGCAAATACAAATTAATTTAAAATGTCTGCATGGTAATATATAATATTTTTCCCTTTCTTTTTGCGTAGATAGGTTTTGTTTATCAACATTTCAAATTTAAATTGATAACGAACGATTATTTGGTAATATATAATGTTAACATTTTTCGGGCAAACGCATTTGTCGCATTCGGGCAAGTGTCCATTCGGGCATTTGTCGCATTCGGGCAAGTGTCCATTCGGGCATTTGTCGCATTCGGGCAAGTGTCCATTCGGGCGTTTGTCGCATTCGTGCAAGTGTCCTTTCGGGAAATCGGCCTTCGGGCAAACGGCATTCGGGCAAGTGTCTTTCGGGAAAACGTCCGGCTCCCGATAGATTACGATCTTAAATGTCTTTTATGGCGTACAAACATTAAACAGGGTAAAAAAGCTATTTTATAAAAGCTATTTAAAATGTTGTCATTGGTTTTCGTTTACACATGTTCTGTGTAGTTGTTGTTTTAAATGAAGAGTAAAAACATCGGCAGTTTAAAGATAAATAAAATTAATAATATATTGTAGGTGTACTTACTATAAATTAGCCACTGAAGAAATATCCAAACGACGACTGCTGTGATCATCATTTTAACAGTTGTAATCGAAAATTTAAACAAGCTTTAATAAATATCACATAAAAATATTGTATTAACTGTGATTAAACTACTATACGCAACAACTTTCTTAACAATAACAAATGTTTTCTTTCTGCAGCCTCATAAAGATATTGTCATAATTATTGACTGATTTCAACAACAGGGTTATATTTTCATACAGTTATATATTTGCGATATCTAACGATGGCTGAGTTACGGGCGTCGTGGAATGAGCTTGTGCGCATGCGTATGACCTGGGAAAATGAGTGTGTGAACTGGATCAAGCTATCTTATTTATTCTAATTGTACAAAAACGCAATATTAACAATAACTACAACTCAAACTCTTTTTATTACAAATAGGAGCTGGCATAAAGTGGCGGGGCTTAACTTTTTAGCAATTTTTGCATTAGTGATGGGGCTTATCAGGACAATACTCAGTGGCGTAGCTAGGATTTTTGGGTCCCTATGAAAAAAGTCTTAGTGAGCCCTCAGAGGCGTAGCGACCCTTCCCGGCGACCGGGGACAAACTTTCGATTTGCACCCCACCACAAACTTTCGATTTGCAACCCCCCCCCCCCTCAGACTTTCGATTTGCACCCCCCCCCCCTCAAACTTTCGAAAAAGGGCCCCTATTTCCCTTGGGCCATTTTGCCTTGCTTACGCTAGCTTTACGCTAGCTTTACGGTAGCTACGCCACTGACAATACTCCTACTACTTCTGCTAGTACTATTATTATTAATATTACTCTTACGTCAATCGAACGTCTGTTCGTCCTTCTGTTAGTTCGTCTGTCCGTCCGTCTATCCGCCTGCATGCCTGTCTGTCTTGGTGTGAACACGATAATTTGAAAATTGTTCCAGTTAGACTTCAGGTTTAAATATTAGATCGTAAACGCAGGTTTTAATCGTATATTGAGCTATTTGCATTTATCGGAAAAGGTATTTATTTACAATTACGTGTAAATACGATAACTTGAGTACCGTTTAAAATCAGTAGAAGAAATTTGAAACAATTGTATACGTTAGGATTGTACACATTTTTGCGTGATTTACTTTTCGTGTTATTGATAATTTACTCCCTTTTTGGTTTCTAAAATAGCGTTGGGGACGGGCTCAGTGAGGTGGAAGAAATTTGTAAATTGAGCAGATGGTAAACGTAGGCTTTGGTCAATTTTTGTAGCAATATCCGGTCACCGCTATTGTCTTATACTTAAGTTATTTTTTATTTGTAACTTTTGTTATATACATCTGGGTTTTTTAAAATACTAATAACTTGAATGCCGTTTCAGGCAATGTGGACGAAGTTTCACATCTAAATAGTTAAACCTATACCTGGATACCAGTTTTCTGATTTCTCAAAAATCTTACAATTTGAGCATTTTGTACCATACCAGCCCTTCTACATGTCAGGGTAAAACTACAGTTAATGTAACGCGCTCTTCTGCCATAGCTACCGACTCCTCACCCCACCCTCCTTCCCTCACCACTGGTTTAAAGTTTGTGAGTTAAACAATTTACCGCCTCGTTCTTTGTGTATTAAATAATATCATTCTTTTGAAATTTTAAAAAAGCCACAAATAATCGATTTTGATCACTTTGTTTTGAAGCTCAAAATTGAACAAACAATGCAATGCAGTGATTAAATGTTCAAAAACTTTGTTATATGACACCTCAGGCTCTAAACCTTTTTAACACAGCTGGATATAATGGATAAAATTATACAAGACACGCGATGAGTGGAACATAATTACAGTTATTTACGTTGAGCGCAATAGTATTCAAATTAAAGGCTCTGATCGTTGTGCACCTGCTGTATTAATTAAAAGCATTAGGGTTTTTGCCTCTAATATACAAGCAAACAATCCCACCGGCCCCAACGCTTGATGCAATTACAGCCCATTATCATAAGAGCGTTAACATTTTGCAGCAATGTTCTAGTTAAATTGGTTGAAAATGCTCGAACTAGATTAACACACATTTTCCTCGTGGTTTGTATTTTACTTTAAAGTAGGACCGAATATTGTAGCTATACAATACAATAAACGGTTTAAAGTTGACTTTGGTGAATTTAACAAACCTCTTTCATCTACATTACTGAATTCATTTCAATTGTCTCCCTAATGTCATCTAATTCAGTAATGTCATATAGCTCAGTAATGTCATCTAATTCAGTAATGTCATCTAGTTCAGTAATGTCATAAAATTCTAAAATATCGTCTAGTTCAGTAATGTCATCTAGTTCAGTAATGTCATAAAGTTCAGGAATGTCTTCTAGTTCAGTAATGTCATCTAGTTCAAGAATATCATATAGTTCAATAATGTCGTAAAGTTAAGTAATGTCATCTAGTTCAGTGATGTCATAAAATTCTAAAATATCGTCTAGTTCAGTAATATCATCTAGTTCAGTAATGTCAACTAGTTCAGTAATGTCTTTAAGTTCAGTAATGTCATCTAGTTCAGTAATGTCTTTAAGTTCAGTAATATCATCTAGTTCAGTAATGTCGTCTAGTTCAGTAATGTCTTTAAGTTCAGTAATGTCATCTAGTTCAGTAATGTCATTAAGTTCAGTAATGTCATCTAGTTCAGTAATGTCATTAAGTTCAGTAATGTCATCTAGTTCAGTAATGTCTTTAAGTTCAGTAATATGATCTAGTTCAGTAATATCATCTAGTTCAGTAATGTCATTAAGTTCAGTAATATCATCTAGTTCAGTAATGTCATTAAGTTCAGTAATGTCAACTAGTAATGTAATGTCATCGCACTCGTATATTTTCCTTTTATTGCCTAGTTCAATACCGTCAAGTATTTCTCTTGATCTTTTCTTCGCTTTACACCTCACTGAGACGGAAAAACGTTGGTCGTGTTCTGTTTTTTTTTTATGTGTGTCTGTATGTGTGTCGTATATAGTTCTTAGATCAAATAGAGAAAGTATATAAAGCAAAGGACAAAATAATACAAATAACATGCAGATAAGACAAGTTGCCACCACACTCTAGCCCATAAATA